AGGGTTCCCTTTTCTCCACACCCTTTCCAGCATTTATCCTTGTGGACTTTTGAATGATGGCCATTCTGACAGGTGTGAGGTGAAACCTCATTGTAGTTTTGATTTGCATTTCTCTGATAATTATTTCAGAGCAGTTTTTTTCATGCCTGTTAGCCATTTGCATGTCTTCATTGGCAAACTGCTTGTTTAGGTCTTCTGCCCATTTTTGGATTGGGTTTTTCTTTCTTATTAAGTTGTATGAGTTGTTTATATATTCTTGAAATTAAGCCCTTGTCAGTCTCATCTTTAGCAAATATTTTCTCCTATAGGTTGTCTTTTTGTTTTGCTTATGGTATCCTTTGCTCTGCAAAAGCTTGTAAGCTTTATTATGCTCCATTTGTTTATTTTTCTTTTATTTCTATTGCCTGGGTAGACTGCCCTAGGAGAACATTGCTGAGATTTATGTCAGAGAATGTTTTGCATATGTTTTCTTCTAAGAGGTTTACAGTGTCTTATGTTTAAGTCTTTAAGCCATTTTGAGTTTATTTTTGGGTATGGTGTGAGGGAGTATTCTAATAAAGTTCAATTTCTTGATCTGGGTGGTGTTTACAAGAGTGTCTGACATAATCATTTATTAAGCTATACATTTGTTTTATTCTGTTTTCCATATACATGCTGTTTAAAACCTATTTTTTAAACTAGAAGAGTGAATGTATTCATGATATAAATTTCAGAGAAAATGTTCTGGGAAGCTCTATTTCTATATTAAGTATCAATTTATCAAGCTGATAAACACAAGAAGTCCAAGTTGATATTTTCAATATTTATTAGTAAGGCTGAGGTCACAGCCTTTATACAGCACAATTTGCATTAGTTATCAAGATACATCTTGTATACAATCACAAAACCAAGACATATTTTTACATAGAGTAAAACTCAAGACAGATTTACAAGCAGTTTTTATACAATTCTCATGTATTTCAGTTAAATTTATACAACCTTTAGCCCAAGAATTTGTATTTGTTCTTTAGATTTTCCACAGAGATTTGGGTAGAACAGAAAAAAGAACACATTAGCAAGTCACCAACACGGCATGCAACATACAGTTAGAAACAAGATATATTTCCAAGTACTCTACTGTTAATTTTGAAATCAATTTTATTAGGTTTTTACTTTTTCATAGAAGAAATTTATTTTCTTTAACGTCAGGTGTATTTCTGTTAGCCTATCAGCACACACATTAATTGGTAGTGGGAGCACCTGAGCACATCACCAACAAATATACAGACACGATCAAACAATAATCACATTCACATGCTGAATGCCACATGAAAGTAGTATTTCCACTTTGTCTAGGTTACCACATGTATAGTTATGTACAGGGTAACGAATTAAGAAAATGCTCTCAATCTACCTATCAGATAAGGAATCACTTGGTTAAATGATTTTGCTTTAAAGGGTACCTTTAATGATAACAACATGGAACATACAGAAGACATCAGTGTGTCATATTCAATGAGAGTATCAGTTTCACTCATTCATTCTTGTTTTACATCAAAGGCAAGTTATTATTAAAGAGACAGCTCATAATTATATTCACTGAGCTTTCTTTTACTTCCATCTCAAGCTCAAAAAGAGGGAAAAATCACTCTGTCACATGTAGAGTTATAAACACATATATATAGCTGCAGTTGGCTGCTTTTGGAATATTAGACATTGTAGCAATGAAAATAAGTTTTTAAAAATATCGTTAGTTATGATTTAAATAATAAAGTAAAAAAATACTATAAACATCTTTATGATATCTTAATGAAATGAAACATTAATCAAATAATTTCTAATAAGTTGGGCACAATATAGTATATAATTTTATTTTACTGCACATCACCACCAACCTAGTGTCACTACCTCTATTCCACTGTCATCACAACCGTTCCTATAATAAGAAGCAATATCAGCTGGTTACCAGCTATAATAGGCCACAATACGACTACTTTAATGTGTGTGATCCACAAAATTAAATCCACTGATATGTTGAAAATACGCATTTATTCATGTGATTACTTACAATATGGGCAATGTTAAGAAGCACAGACATTCACTACCCCTCAGTCTTGGATACTGTTCTTTGAAGCTGAAATGGTAAATAAAGAGTTGAGAGTCACCAAAAATCTCTTTAATCTTAAGTAAAAACGGGGAAACACCAACCTCTTTCTCCTACTGTTATCTATGTCTGCAACGACCATTATAGACATCCCTGTCTTTTGTAAAAGTTCACTCTGTGCTTTTGCTTCTACAAATAAAAGTTTCTTGAGGACCAAATTTTAAACCAAGAAGCAACTTCTGTCTCTGATGACTCAGTGAGACTGTGGGAAAAGCTGAGATGCTTTTCAAGGTATAAGTGCTGTCACTGGACGAATCCAATGTGTTATTTAGAGATTACAAACTTTGTCTCTATTAGGATAAAAAAAAGCTGATTCCGATAAAATAAATAAAGTAAAAAGTGGAAAATCATGTGCTGTGATATATACAAAAAAGTAAAAAAACACCAAGAGCCCTCTTTGCAATTAAAAAAGAAATAGTTTTGTTGTAAGAAGGGTAATCAATATCACTTAGAAGAAATGCATTCGTATAAGGATCAGTGTTGCATAGAACAATTCCAGTACAACCTAGGTGTTTGGTCAGTGGCAGACTTGGCACCCTTGGCAGGATCTTATCCTCTCTGAAGCGGGATGCTGGTGCACAACAAGAAGCCCTGTCATAACTCTCTTGATTGGCCTGGCTCCATCACCACTTCTTGGAACAGAGGGGCACCTATAATGGAAAGACTCCCCTTTCAGGTCAAATAGCTACCAAGGTATGATTTTTGTTCTGGTGGCACCTCCTTTTTACGTATTCTAAAAGAAACTGCAACTGGAATGAAGTAAGCTAGCTGGTCACAAACTTGTCATGCACACTTCTGGATGTAAGTGGCTGTAGAAAAGAACCCATGGTGAGCCAGGGTTTCCTTTTAAGGACGAACAGCAGAGCCTTTGTATCAGAAGGAGATCTTCCTGAACCCTTTTCTTACCCAATTCTGAGTGATGATCATAAGCTTCCTCAAGTGCTAAACTCTGCTGGAAATATCCATGGCAACCATCAGCAGGTCTAGTGGTCTCTAAAAATAAAATCCTAGCAATATCAAATCTTTGAGTGATCCCCTCGCCACATGCTCATTTTAGAGCAGTATCGATGATAAATCACACTGCACCGTCGGAGGGGAGACCAAAACATAGAAGGAAAAAAAGTGACTGTTAACGTTTCTCAGACTGGAAAGGAGTGAATTTGTATTTCTTTCTGAATACCTGGGATTTATTAGAAGTTGTTTTTTAATGTCTTAAATGTAACCAATTTCTCTCAGATTTAAAGTATGTTTTTCTTTAAAAATGAGAACGTTCAAGAGCTGATCTATATATTTGGAGATGATTTCTCTGATCCCACTAAAACCTCACCCTTGAACAGAGCAGCAGCTTCTAAACTCAGCATTTGCTGAGAAGCAATTTAATTAATTTATTTTTGTGGCTATGGAATAGGATAAGATCTCTATAATTTATTTAATTTATGACAACCCTATTTGCAAATCATTTTCATTGAACTGTTTACCATGTTCAGTTAAAAAGAAGTTTGTCATTTAACTAAAAAACTAGTTTTGGAGCTAGTATACTCTTTTATCCATGTTAGTGCTTGCCATTGGTTTGGAAGATGCTTTTTCACATATAGAATTTGAGAAATAAAAAACTGCGTAATACTTATTCCTCACTTATATGTATAAAAACTCTATTTGGAAATGTGCTTTCATCTTCTCTCATAGATCACTTAGTTTGGGCATCCTAACATCCCATTAGGAAGGCTAGGAATATGTAATTATATTGTCCTACAAATATGAACATTGAGCACAATTTAGTTTAAGTGACACGTACAAGGTGACACAGTCAGTGGCAGAACCAAGAGCCAAAGTCAGCCTTTTAATCCCAGTTGAGTGTGTCCCCTGTAATTCCATGTTACTTCCTTCGTTAATGTTGTTGGTTGATGGGGGAAAGGATGCTTCATTTTAATGACTTAGACATTGGTCCTTTTATGCTATATTATTAAAGTAACTCAAAGCATATTTTAACTGCAACATAATGTTGATTTTTTCACATATTGATGAACTTGATCACTGTGATACTGTCATTAACGTAGGAAAAAGGGCACGAAGAGAACATGAATTTGGTGTCAAGGTCTTCATTTTACAGTCAGTATTAAGGGAAAAAAATGGTGGAAGAGCAGGAAATGATACCAAGTTAATTACTCAATGTCACAGATTACTATAATTGGTTTACCAGAGGAAGAATTTTCTCTCTGTCAATATATCGCTGAAGAGAAAGAAAACAGGTGGGCTAATGCATTTATCTGCAGTTCCACAAAGGACAAATTACCATGCTTCCTAGAACATACCAATGTGATCTAGGTCCTTTGGTATGTAGATTGGAAATATCTTGGCTTCAGGGTAAGTTATGAAGATTTTGATGTTTTCAGCCAAGATTCCAAATATTTTGTGGGGTTCCAGCATTCTTTTTTTGTTAGCCAGTCATGGCTTTATTTCTAGATAAATGTAACTCCATTTCTACTTACTATTATCTTCACTATACATTATTTCAAATTATACAAATGTGCTTTTACAACATCAATTCCAAAAGTGGTAGTGTTCACCCTGGTAACATTTAGACACAGAGAAAACCTGTACAATATGGTCTAAAAGCTATAGTTGCTACATCTCCAGTTCCCTTTTCCCTACAAACACAACCTCCTTGCTTCCGGCCTTGGACACATTATTGTAGGTGTATCCTACGTCAGAATCTCAAAACAGTTAGTTGTCTGAGAAGGTAAGATGAAGAGGAGAGACTTCTGTACTTCAGAAAACTCAGATTTGTAACATCAGTTCTTTCCTTTCATGTTGTCTTGCATGAAATGTTACTTCTGTCTGCATCAGAAACCAATCTAATCTTTGTGCCTCTGCCTTTAGTTACCTATAGCTCAACTCTACTCAAAGATTTTTGCATTAAGTAATTAAAACTTCTCTCACCGTCCTTCTTTACAGCCACAAGAAATCCAGGATTTCAGAGCTCCTTTTTTTTGTCTTCAATATATGAACTTTCTCATTTGAGTTTTTTCCTATGTTCCACAGCAATAAGTTTACAAGGCATCAAGTATGTTTTTGCCTTTTGTTCCTCCTTTCATGGTTACCCCTGAAAACATAGCTTAGAACAATAGTATACAACTATACTGTTGATTTAAGATTATATAAAGCACTTTCTATACCCTGAGCAGACACATTTCTTCAATGGGTTTGAGTAGGACTGACCAAAAGTTTGTGCCAGTTGACTATTCTTTTTCTGAGATCCACTTTGTCAAGCCAGATACAGGCTTCACCAATCAAGGTCTTTTTCATAAACTTCCCTCCATTGGAAAAAAGTAAAATCTAGAAAAAATAGCCAAAATTATAAATATTTATGTGCATATTTTCAACCTCTTTTACGGACATTTGTTCATCAAAGAAATAACACAGACAAGAAAGGGTGAGGATGAGAGGAAGCAGCAGGCATACTTGCAGGAGGACTAACAACTAAGATGTCAAAAGATTTGCATAATATTAATTGACATCAACATTCCCAAAGGCAAAGACATGGGGATGGGAGAGTTCTAGACGAGACATGGATTAGCAGCTAATTCTAACTAGGTTTATGCTTAAACTGAGAAACTTTCACAGAAAACCTTGCTAGGTGCATTGTTTACCAGTTTATAAAATATTAACTCAAGGACAGAATTATGTGGGTGGTGAGTAAATAAAGAAGAGTTTACAAGGCAGATAGAACATAACACTAATTTTAAATAGCATTTAATTTACTGGTGATTTTACTTTAGTATGCACTTCCCTTCAGAGTGCCCTTGAATTTTTTTTATTTCCCTCAACGCTGTGAATCCTCTCAATGCAGTTTTTGCTTTGTAATTTCTCTTATATTGGTCTCTAGTCCAGGCCTTTATTTAAGTGCCAGTTACCATGGTCTTCTTGTCCGATATATTTTTTATCTCTTCCTTCCCCCTCACCCCTTTTTCCTCTTATTCCCTGCCTCTACATCTACTAAAGATAGACTATGTTCAAGCATTGTGCTAGGCTGCAGAACAAGAGCAATGAAAATCAAGCCTTGCACTGGAGAAGCTGATTGTACACAAGCAGTGACTGGTTAAGTATATAAATTGTTGCACAAGACTGGGAGTAATGGCCTGATGAGATAAGCAGAACCATTATGTGACTCGGGTGTGATGAATTACACCCAGGGTCATCAGTAAAGGGTTGAGTTTACATTGGAAGAGGTGCAGTATTGTGATAGATGGAGACAGATGGAGAAGGGGGTATTGATGGCAGGAAAAATATTAGCCAAGAATTAGAGCCTTAACCTGATTAGGAGATTCTGATGTGACTGGAGTAAAGAGTGAGTGGAAAAGTATACAAGGAGATAAAACTAAATCAATACAATTAGAATTCACCATAGACAACTCTGAATGAGTCAGGATAATAGTGAGTAATCAGAGGGTTTCAATGTATACTGGCCAGTGGTTTTTAAAAGATACCTCTGCCAGCAGTGTGATAAAATAAATTAAAAGGGTAGGATATTGATGGCAAATAGGCCAGGTAGACTGCTGAAATGATCTAAGTGACAAAGATGAGGACCCACAGAGGGTTCGTGGCTGTGAGCAGTTAGATTAGAGGAGATGTGGTAGCTGATTGGATGGGGTGAACGGGCTGTGGAAATTTAAAATGCCCCTGGGAAGGTAACTTTAAAAATTAACTTGTAAAATATCACATAGTATATGAATGGCATATACATACTGAATAATTAAATGGGAAATAAATACCATATGAATGGAAATTTAAAAATAGGAACCAAATGAGTTACCTGAAGAGAATGTCCAGCAGGACTTAGGCTGAACCTAAACGTTTCATTGAATGAAGGCTCTCGGTCATGTCTACATACTCTTGTTTTTTTCTTGATCACCTTTTTTTGGGTAGAAATGTTCATCACATATATTTTCACATATAAATCTGAAAGTAAAAATTCAGCTTGTTAAGTGTCCATAAATAATACAATTTTCTATTGAAAGAATTATAATTATATATTGAGAGCTCTCCGACATTTTATACAAGGCCAGTAAGTAGGCTGTGAACAATTTGTTTCAGACAACATACAGGAATTAAAATATACACCAATTTTCTTAGCAAGTCAGATACTGTCTTGTTGTATAATAAATACATTAATCTAAGTTTGTGTTAAAAAATCTAATTTCTAACAGGTAAAAATATCAACTTGCTCCATGTAAGATAAATTAATTCTTCTTTCCTATTTTTCAGGTATATTTGGTACACAGCCCAAATTTTAGTTAGCATTTTCTAGAATATTTAGGACATACTACTAAAGAATTCCTAGATAGGTTACATTGATCATGATCATAAAATTAGATACCTGGTAAGTGATCAGGAGATTTAAATTTGTAGGTGATATTTCTGCACTGGAGTATTTCAACTATTAGTTGTTCACCATCTGTTTTCATTTCTTTCTTCAATGCGATCTTGATTTCTCCCATTACCTGAGTTTTAACTAGAACAATTTAATAAAAAAAAAGTTAAGGCATATGTAATGCCATTTACTAAATGGTTAGTTTAGTAATTCATTCATACATTCACTTACTGAGTGTTTATCAAGTGCTGAACACCTCATCACACCTTGTGGAGATGCAGATGAATAAACTCAGTCCAAGCCCTTAAGGACTGAAGGGTCTCATGGGGAGACTGATAAATTACACACTTACAGTAAAGTATATTAAGTATAATGATAAGCTAGTAACAAGAGTCATATGGAGGAAATTCAAGGAGATAAGTATTACTCAATTGCAGATTTTTAGGCCAAAAGAGGTACTAGATGGGACTGTAGGAGACTCTAGGAAGACAGTCATACACAGAAATAGTAAATTCTAATATAATTTATAGGAAATAAAAAGTCAAATGAAATACAGGAAGTTGTTTGCTACAATTCCCCATTACTAGGCTTGCTCAACACTTGCCGACACAACAAAATGTCATCGTATACTATATCCACTTCCATTCTGTTTTCTTTGTAGCCATCGAGAGTAAACTGTAATAAAACTGCACAAGGGAAAAGACAAGTGATTTAAATTGAGTTCCGTAGGTTTCTTTCTAGTGTTTATCTTGGACCTTTACACTACTGAAGAAATTCTTCATGCTAGGTCAAGTTCTTTACTGATTCACCCTTTCCTCTATTAACCCATATATTTATCCACTTATTCATTCACCAACAAATATTTTATTTCCCACCCTCCTCTGTGATTAGCACTATTAGGAAGAATGAATGTAACAGTAAGCCAATGTACATATGCTTGTTGGTTTTATGATTTTTCTATTGGGAAGAAATCCATCAATGACATAGTTTCATCAATAAATGTATAATTAGAAAGAGAGAAAAGTTTCTGAAATACAAGAGCCTGGTTACAAGAAAGCCTAGGAAAGGCCTGCTTGAGCTGAAACCAGAGGATAAGAATTAAAGAGGTGAAATGGATGGGGAAGAACATTCTAAAGAGAAGGAATGGTGTGTTCACAAAATCCAACACCATGGGGCTGCAGAACTAAATAAATACTCATGTGATTATAACACACTGTGATTGGCACTATGTCAAGAATTTGGTTTTTACCTTTAGAACAATAGGAATCTATTGAAGGTCTTTAATATGGATGTAGATCCTTTGTTCTCAAACATTTTGGTCTCAGAATTTCTTTATACTGTTAAAAAAAAATGGGGGTCCTCAAAGAACATTTGTGTGAATTATAGCTGTCCATATTAGTAATTTAAATATACTAAGTATAAAGTAAAATTAGATATTTAAGTATTTATTTATTCAGTTAAAATGACAATATACCTATAAATATTTCAATGAAAAATATGCGTATTTTCCAAAACAGAAAAAAAGTAGTGAGGAGTGCTATTTAATATTGTTTCAAATTTTATTGAAGCTTGCCTTAATAGAGGACAGCTGGCTTCCCATACCTGTTTCTATGTTAAATCCAGTTCAATATGTTGTTTTAGTTGAAATATATTACCGTCTCACACAGATGTATACAGTTGGAAAAGGAAGGAGTATTTTAAAATCTTTTTCAGATAATTGTGGACAATCTTTAATATACTACATTAAAACTCGAAAACTGGTAGTCTCTTTAAGATTAGAAATGTGGACATTGTAAAATGACTATAACTCAATAAAAAATGTAGAAAAAAAAGAAATGTGGAATCTGAAACCATATCAATGAACTTTTTGTACTGTTAAAAGACAATAATCTGTCTTGCACCTTGAATGGACCATTTAACTATACCTGAACTGGTAACATCACATCTTGTTCATTTTGGAAAATACTGCTTCACTGAGTTATGCAGGTCTTTAAAATGTCGACCCAATTCATCCAATGTTAAAAGCACATTTGTTAATATCAGCACTGATATCACCAAAGAATTCTGAATACTGAAAAGCTGTCCAGCTCAAGGAGGCAGATTCAAGTTTTCTAAAATTTTATTTTTACTTAAAATCTGATTTTTTATCATTGACAACAATGATGGTCAATTGTTTCTCTTAGTGACAAGTTCACTTTGTTAATTTTAAGAAAATGGCAGCTGAATACAGTCAGACCTCTGCATCCATGAATCTAAGCAATCGAGGATCAGAATATTAAATTTTTTTTTTCTGGAAAGTTCCAAAAGCAAAACTTGAATTTGCCACATGGAGACAACTATTTACATAGCATTTACACTG